ATTCATCACCCGGACCCCAGTGCACAAGGGCACATTTCGGCTGGAACTTTTCCAGAAGACTACGAGCAGCACGAGGGGCTCAAACTATGACCTATGAGGAACAGCACTGGGCATGAGGATTTCCAGAAGACAGTCTTGGGTAGGTGGGACATAATGGCTATTTTTAACCATCCGTTCTCCTCAGAGGGCCTTGTGCATACCTTTACTGCAATGTTAATCAAACCACTAAGTTCTATGTTACCATCCCTCCCACTGGATGGTGCCATGTCTCAGTGTCCATATCCCTTCGTTTTTGGCATCAATTACCTTTCTTCATTCTCGCTTCCCCTCATTCCCTCAAGCACTTTATAAAATTTTAAAGTGCTTAGAAATGTTAGTCATGTATTAGTAAAAAAACAGGAGTCACAAATTCAAATACTCCAGGGAGCCAGCCAAGTAATGCACACAGGCCCACGTGAAAAGAACAAGAACACAAGCCTGGTACGACCCGCAGCTGCTGATCTGACCTCAGTGGCAGGAGTGTGGCAGACTAGAAAGCACAGGCCACTCCAGTTGACTGCTGCCATCCAAATCCAATGCGTCAGACCTTCCCGGTTTCCAAAAGAAGCCAGGAATCTGGAATTTTACATAAAACATTTTCATTAAAAATGTTGATTGACATGAAAAATGTGGGCCAATGAGGCACATTTGTGGGATATGGTGCAGTCCATAGACCACCAGGTTTCTGACCTCTGGTTTAGGGACAGAGAAGTGTATGTAGAGGCTGCAAGAGTCTTGAGCTCCATAACGGATTCCGGACAGGGTGGCTCAGAGAGGTAAAAGTGAATTAATTGCCAAGGAATCTAAGGAGGCTGGAAGGGTCATGTCCAGCGGGGTAGACCAGGGGAGGCTTTGGAGGGCAGTGGTATTTGCACTGAACTCAAAAGGGAGGACAGCCCTCCTTTTGCTCTAGCTGCTCAATGCTCACAGTGAAGACCAAACAGCTACTCACATGCTCGGGCTGTCCTACACAAGATGACCATCTCTGCCCCCGACGCCCCTGCCCAGCTTCCTTCTCCGCAGCACCCTCACCACCAGACACGCTGCATACATGCTTGCTGACCCACGAAGCCTTGGCCCCCCCTTGCTGGAATGCACCCCCACCAGGACAGGGGTTCTGCCTCCTCTGTTCCCTGCTGTCCCCTAAACCAGAATGCTGCCCGGCACATAGTGGGTCCTAATAAACACATGCTGGATAAATGAATGTTCATTTCCTATGCAACTGTGACATCTGGATCCTGAACACTGTCCAGCAGCCCTTCGGGGGTCCCTGGTAAGCCCTCTGCTCCATTTTGTATGTGGCTATTGCAAACTTCACCTCTGCTCCTACCCGCCCCCTCTGTACTGGAGACTGGTGTCCTTAACACTCGGAGAAAAAGAACCCCAGCAGGTGCCTGTCACCCTCTGGCCACAGACACCCTGGCCTCCTCTACAAATTGGGGAGAACACTCCTCTCGGCTAGATGCAGGGATCCCTTTCCTTTGCGTCCATTCTCCGTCTCAGTTGGCTCCTTTCTAGCAGTCTCTCTTTTTTTTGAGAGAGCGAGCAAGCATGCACAGAGGGCAGTGGGGGAAGGGCTGACTTCACACTGAGCAGGGAGCCTGATATGGGGCTTGAGTTCACGACCCTGAGATCATGGCCCAAGCTGAAACCAAGAGTTAGACTCTAAATCGACTGAGCCACCTAGGTGCCCCTCCAGCAGTCTTTAAACAGGCTCCAAACTCTACTGTCTTAAACAAAGTCTCTACTCCTGACCTAGCCCTCTAATCCCCGCTGTTCTCCCAGAGCTGCACACCTCCAGTCTGAGCTCTGGCTGGGGCTGGCTTCTACATCCACCTTTGCTCCACCTCCACGGGACAGGTGCCCCCTGCTGTGCTCCTGGGGGAGTCAGTGAGTGACCTGCTCACGGGCCCACTCTCCCCAGCTCTGAACCCTCTCTGCTCACCTTTTTTCTTTGCTTCCGCAACCAGTTTCCCAGCCTTGCTGCCACCTCTGTCTCCACGGCCCAGCACTGTCCCAATCCAGGGCCACCATCACCATCAAGACATTGGCCGAACCTGGATCCTCCTCTACAGCTTTGCTTCCCACCGACCCATTCTTAATTTTATGGTTGGAATGATTCTACAAGTCAGTCTGATTGTTCAATCTCTGTTTAAAACTCCTGCCCCAGGGGCGCCTGGGTGACTCAGTCGGTTAAGCATGTGACTCTTGGTTTTAGCTCGGGTCGTGATCTCAGGGTCTTAAGATCAAGCTCTGTGGGGCACCTGGGTGGCTCGGTCGGTTAAGCGTCTGCCTTCGGCTCGGGTCATGATCCTGGGGTCCTGGGATTGAGTCCCGCATCGGGCTCCCTGCTCTGTGGGAAGCCTGCCTCTCTCTCTCTCTGTCTCTCTGTGTCTCATGAATAAATAAATAAAATCTCTCTAAAAAAAAAAGATCGAGCTCTGTGTCAGGCTCTGTGCTCTGTGCAGAGTATGTTTAAGACTCTCTTTCCCTCTCCCCCTGCCTCTCTCCCCACTGCTCACGCACATGCTTTCTCTCTCAAATAAATCAATCTAAAAAACAAAAAACCAAAACCACAAAAACTTCTCACCAGCCTCTCAGTCCTCTGGATATAATCCAGCTCTTTTAAAGGCCTTTCCCGATCTCTAGCTTCTCTCTGCAAGGCCTTCCTATCACCCTAACACTTATCCCAACCACTGATCCTCCTCTGAACTTCTTTTTGTCCAGGTACTTGTCTTTCTGTCCACATGGAGGTTTAAAGAGGGCAGAGCTCCTGTCCTCCACGCTATTATATCCTGAGCCTCTGTGGGCTATGCCTGGCACATAATAGTGTTCAATGATTCATTTTGAACGAGTGTATACCAAATAAAAGGATGAAGGTACCAGTTCCAGAAGCATTAACGTAGATGGGTACAAGAGCCCTGTAGTTACTTACTAAACCTTACTAACTATGGGGCTCTGCTGGGTGATCAGAATTCTTGGATTGAGGAGGTTGGGAGGTAGGAGCCAGGGGAATGGAAGTAACCAGCCTCAACTGGGTTTCCGACAGAGCTCTGGAACCGGGCAGTGGGGGTGCACCAATGGTTCTTTATTCATGCCTGTTTGAATGATGTTTGATGGTGAGAAACGATCTTTTTTTAACCCACACCTCAGTGCATGACAGAGGCAACAAGCACTCAGCATCCATTCTACTGCCTTCTATGAGCCTTCCCATATTAGACGCCCACAGCTAAAACACGTCACTCGCCAGACTCCCTTGTAGGTCGGATTTTGGATTCAAATTTGGTGCCATATGTAAGGTGATTGAGTGACCATGGAGAAAGAACTCTATCCTTAGTCTTGTCTTTAGGGCATGTTTATGAAAATTTAGGGATGGTAGAAAACTGGAAGGAATAACTAATATGCTGATTACAGAATCAGGGTACAGAAAGATCTCAACAGGCTGGGGGACTGGAATCCAAAGCTTTACCAGGGCCCAAGTTCTACATTTGGGACGAAGCGACCAAATGCACACAAATAATCCTGAGTGAGGAAGGGCTTTATAGTTTTCTTAACTATAAAAGAAAAACTTCAGATTCTAAACTGAATTTAGGACAAATAGTGTGACGTGGCTCAAAAGGGCTAAGTGAAACTTAGACTTCATCACCAGAAGTTGGATTTTTAGGAGTGCGGGAACTTACAGTCTCAACAAATTCTGCACTTGTTAAAACCATACTTGTAAACCAGTGACATTTAGTTCTGGGCACAAAGACTCTCAACAAGCTACAGCTTTTCTAGATGACAACAGAAAGGATTTAAAACCAGGACTATGAGGAACAGTGGTAAGGACCCAGGAGTATTTCCTGAAGAATGGGTAGATGGGACAAGAAGCTCAGCCTTGCTTTGTAGGGTCCCAGAGGACAATGGTACACGAGCAATTACAGAAACTGGAGGGAGGCTGACAGAGGCTCAGTCTAAAAAGACAGGACAGCCAGAACTGGAAGGGCACTGGGTGGGAGGTGGCCTCCCTGGCACTTGCTACACAGGCCTCTAGCTGCGTGGGGACAATGCAGAAGGGGGAGGAAGGCCCTAAGTGTGATGCCCTGACTTGGACTGGATTCTCCTTCTGGTCCCTCTGCACGCAGGGGCTCTGCGATTTGGGGAGCCCAGTTCTCACCGCTCAGGCCGACTCCGCGCCTGGAGCACAGCGAGACCGTGCGCCAAGAGCCGAAACCCTAGTTAGAAAGTGGGGCCACTGTCAGCTCCCGCTACACAGGCCAGCTGGGGCGCGCCACGTGTGTATTTCGTCACAATTCATGACCCCTGTGGGAAGATTCTGGTCCGGTCCGGCAAGACTCTTTGCCGCCACAGTGTCCAGCAGAGTGCCTTGCACAAAGCAGGAACTCAAAACCCAAGTTTTAGTCTAATTTTACAATTTTTCTTCCAGCTGGAATCACAACACGACTCGTATTGCAGAATGCCACTACAGGGACGATTCCGTTTCGGCGCCAACCACACATCAGGAATGCTGTGGAGCTCGGAAGCCCCCCGTGCACGGACTGCCCCACAGGCCGGTGACACCAGAGATCTTGGCGATTGGTCCCCCAGCCCCCAAGCTCCCAAGCACTTCTAACCGAGGCTGGGCTTGAGGACCACTGGCTCATCCCATAAGGAAATGGAAACTTTTCTAAGGAAACACCAGCTAACACAACGGTCCCCCATCTTTCCTGAGGAGGATCTATTTCTTCTCTACTCTCCTTAAACTGAAAGTGTCAAAAATCTTTGCTTCCTGGGTAGAAAGCTATCAGAGAATCCTACTTTCTTTATTCTCTGGGGACAGCATTTAAGTACAACGCTACACGGTGAAAGACACTTACATCAGTGTCCTTTGCTATGTGAAAACACCATCAGAGTGTGTACACGTAGGTAACGAGAATAAATGACTTTTTTAACTTCTAAAGTGACCTCAGTGCCCTCCATACCTGGACCGAGCAGCGGCGACCGACTCAGCTGGGCGCCGGCCTGGTGCGGCGGTGGCGTCTCGACCACGTCCGAGCTGCTGCTCGTGGTGGTGGGGGTGGCGGCGGCGGCCGTGGTACTGCTCTGCATGCCCGGGTTGTTTCTATCCCACATGTTTACAGTTTTATTGTTGTAGTTGCTCGGGTCACCCCAAGCTGAGGTACCATCATCAATTTCCATTTTGCGTCGAATGGATGGTGGAGAAGGTTCCTCCCAGCCCGTGGCCTCACTGCTGTCCTTTTGTTTGACAGGGACTGGCCCCCCGATCCACCCAGTTCCTGTCTGTTTAACGGAAGCGGCTCCTCCCCAGTTACTCACATTGCTGTCTTGGGGTTTGCCCGCCCAGTTCTGTTGGGGGCCAGGTTTTAAAGACTCTCCCCAGTTTGTCCCTGGATTCACCTTTGAATTTGTGCCATTACCCCAGCCACTGGTCCCAGACCTGGTAGGATCATTCCAACCAGACCCTGACCGATTACTGTCAGCATCCCATCCAGAGCCATTTTTTTTCCCATCCCCCAAGTGTCCGAGGACAGAAGACGAATCTGCCCAATCTCCCCCTCCTGCATTCCAGGCTGGATTAGATTTTTGTCCGTCTCCCCAGTTTTGAGATTTGGGTTTCGGAGGCTCCCCCCAGGTGGGCGACTTGTCCTCCTGATTTACGGTCCCACTCCAAGCATGGCCACTCTTGGCGGTGGCAGCAGCATTATTAACAGCAGTAGAGCTTATCGAGTCCCCCCAAACCCCTGGGCCATTTGGCGCTTTGTTGCTGCTGTCTCCCCAGCCTGTGTTTGCTGGCCCAGCAGCCGGCGGTGCACTGGCCCACCCGGACACTGAAGAGGTATTTGTACTGTTCACGATGGACCCATCACTCTTCCCCCCTGAGTTTGAAGGCTGAGTAGCGGCAGAGCCCCAGGCCTCTGTCCCATTGTCATTTTTTCTCTCAGACCTAGGGGACTCTTCAAATTCCCAGGCAGTGTTTTGCTTTACTGGAGTCTGTCCCCAGCCAGTATTAGACAGAACTCTTGGGTCAAGATCGTTCCTTGGCAATTGGATGTGCCCTTGGTCTATCATCCCTTTATCTCGCCTTCGGCCTTCTGCTCCTTCCCTCCCGGAGCTTCCTTCATTGTGACTGCCAGAACCGTCGCTACTTCCTTCACTTGCTGTCGTTCCAGAAGACGCAGCTTTGGCCCAAGAGTTCATGTGTTCACTGCCAGGCTGCATGGCAGGATTCTGGCTGCTAACACTCGGACTGTCCCACCCTGTTGATCCTTTCCCACTGATGTCACTGTTGGAATGCTGGTTTGGGGGCTTGCCCCATTCCCCATTCACACCGTTAGAGGTGCTCCTGCTGGGGTGGCCCCAAGCTCCCGAATGGATATGACTGACGCTGCTGTTGTTGCCACTGCCCCGTCCCCAGGCGAGGAGTCCAGGACCAGCAGGGGGGCCGGAGTCCCAGGCGCTTCCTCCACTTCCTTCCTTCTGCACAGCACTGCTGGATCCATTCTGCTTAGCACTCAACGCTGAGTTCACAGTGTCTCCATTCCCCTGACTGAACCCAGAATTGCTACTTCCTGTGGCAGGGTTACCTGGGGACAGTCCCCACACAGAACTGCTGATTCCTTCACCGCCGCTCCCACTGACTTGAGAAACTGCTGATCCGTTAGCACCAGGAAGGCCCTGCAGGTGGGGCGGGATGATGGCCCCCATACCGACAGCCATGCCCCAGTTTGGCAGTCCGTTTGTCTGCATTGCATTGACAGGGTTTGGTGAAGAGTTCATGGGGTTAGTGTTATTTGGTCCATCAGTGTTAAGGTTCTGAGGTTGTACGCTGAAAGACACATTCTGAGAAGTGGACGTTTGTGGTTCTGTGCTCTCTTGCGGCAGCAAGTTTCCCCAAGCACCTAAAGTGCCTGTTGGGTTCCCGTTCTGGTTGCCCGTATTTTGACCTATGGCACTGACCGGACTGCAAATACTGGAAGGGTTGCCTGTCGCCACAGTTCCTTCATGTCCAAGTACAGGCCAGGCAGCTGGGTTGGCATTAGGATTAAGGTTAAGATTAATGCCAGCGTTGGAGTTGGAAGCCCCCCAGCAATTCTGACTTCTCCCATCTCCGATCATGTTGTCCATTTTTCCATCCCCACCGCTGAGAGAGCAGTGAGCTGGGCCGGAGCTGGAGCCTGTGGCTACGGCCCACACTCTGGCTCCATTTCCATTACCGCTGGCGCCCCCTGCTCCAAGGGCACTCTGATTAGAAGGGCTTTGGACGAGCGCACCATTGGTGCCATTATTGCCATTTGTCTTCTTGGTATGTCCAGTGAAGGTGCCCTGGGCACTCCCCGTAGCCATGCTACTGTTCTCTGAGCCACAGTTGGAGGCAGAGTCAGTGTCTGTGGTACATTCTGAGGCAGATTCAGTCTCTGCTCCTGTGATGGAAGGCCACGCCTCCTTGTCAGTCCTGTCTATTATCACTTTATCCCAGCTGCTGCTGGCTTCACCTCTGTACGTGGGCTGCTGGCCCCAGTGGGAACTTTCATAGTGATCTGCCAATCCACCGTGACTGAGATCTGAAAAACAAGAAACACATTCAGAATTAGAGCTTCCTCTCATCCGTCAATGAATCCACTGTGAACTAGTCTTTGGGGGAAGCTCCTTATTTCCAGTTTCAACGTTGAAAGACAAGTGCTAAAAAATGACTTTAGAAAAAAGCTACCTGTCTTCATAGTAAGTTCCATGTTTCTAAAATGAGCCAATGTTTCTAAAATGATATTAATCCTCACCACTACCCGACACCATTCTCTCTCTTGAGGGGACTCACAGCGCACATGAGCACATGAGCGTCTCTGACAGTAACCAGGAGAGGAATGAGGCAGGTGGGGCACGGATGTGACCACGCCACACCTGAACACACTCGGACTGTGGTGACAACATATTCATGTGGGTTCTTGAATACAGTCCGCAGTTCTCTTCAAGACCTCCAGCTGGAGCTACGGTACGATACAGAGGCTACACGGCTCACTCAGTAGAAAACAACTGTAAATACAGTGCAGAAGCATGAAACAGAACCAATATTTTGGGGGTGAGGGACAGAGGGAGAGAGAGAAGAGGCGTTAGAAAATGCTATCTTATGTTATCGGGGGTATGGAGGGTTAGAAATAGTTCATTACATTTATATTACTTATCTGTTATCACCAGCAATTACGGTTTGCCATTATTAAACACAAGTAAGAACTCTCTGAGGACTTTCTCCCCTTGCCCTCCATCTCCTTGAATCACAGTCTTTGCACTGGAGACCCCAGGATAACGTGATGTGCTATCTTCCATTCTAGCATTCATCTCGTTTCACCCCTTAGATCCTTTTAAAGAATCCAGTATTTGCCATTGGCATTTTATTTCCTAGGATTTCTAGTTATTTGACTATTTCTAACATTGCAATCCAACTTATGCTCCAATGAATTTTTCCAGCAGACTCTATCTGAAGTATGGGTCATTTAAAACTAAATAAAAGTAATATAAAAAATTTATTTAACCTATGCATACAACAAACTCACACAACTTAGAGATCCTTGATGGTTTCTTCAAACAGTATGATGTACAGATAACTGCAATAAAATATTTCTTCTCTTTTAGAACTTTTTCTTCATTATGTTTTCTTCAAAATTTTAACAAGAAAAATTTTACTCCTGGGAAGTAAAACTGGGTTTCCCACAGAAAACCTCTTTTAAAGTTTAATGGAGCTAAAAGAAAAACAGGGGAAGTGTGTAAAGAATGATCACTATTGCTACAAAGAACATCCTAGAGACAACTTCAACCTATTAAAAAAGAAAAAAAAAAGGTTTCGTTGTCTGATTTAAAAGGGATGTAATGAATTCAGAATTTTGCTCTTGGTGCTCAGCAAAGGAAACCACCAATAAGACGAAAAGGCAAGCTACAGAATGAGAGAAAATATTTGCAAATGACGTATATGACAAGGGATTAATATTTAAAATATATGTAGAACTAGTACAACTCAACACCAAGAAATCCAAATAATCTGATTAAAAATGTGCAGAAGAGGGGTGCCTGGGTGGCTCAGTCAATTAAGCATTGACTCTTGGTTTCAGCTCAGGTCATGATCTCAGGGCTGTGAGATCAAGCCCTGCGTCAGGCTTGTGCTCAGCGCGGAGTATGCTTGAGATTCTCGCTCTTCCTCTCCCTCTGCCCCTCCCCCCCATGCTCTCTCTCTCAAATAAAATAGTTAAGTAAAATCTTTGGAAAAAAACACGGGCAGAGGACCTGAACAGACATTTTTCCAAAGAAGACACACAGGTGGCCAACAGATACATGGGAAGATACTCAACATCGCTTATCATCAGGGAAATGCAAGTCAAAACCACAATGCGACATCACCTTATACCAATCAAAAAGACAAGAAACAACAAATGTTGATGAGGATGTGGAGAAAAGGGAATCCACATACACTGTTGGGTCAGAATGCAAACTGGTGCAGCCACTCCAGAAAACAGTACGGAGGCTCCCCAAAAAACTAACAATAGAAGTACCACAGAATCCAATAATTCTACTTCTGGGTATTTACCCTAAGAAAACAAAAACACTAATTCAAAGGCAGATGAACCCCTAAGTTTACTACAGCATTATTCATGATAGCTAAAATATATAAGCAATCCAAGTGTCCATCAATAGATGAATGGATAAAGATGTGGTATATATACACACACATACACACATAATGGAATATTACTCAGCCGTAAGAAAGGATTGAGATCTTGGGGCACCTGCGTGGCTCAGTCGGTTAAGCATCTGCCTTCGGCTCAGGTAATGATCCCAGGATGCTGGGATCGAGTCCCACACTGGGATCCCTGCTTAGCAGGGAGTCTGCTTCTCCCTCTGCCCCTCCCCCTGCTCATGATCTCTCTCTCCCTCTCTCAAATAAATAAATAAAATCTTAAAAAAGAAAAAAAAAGAAAGAAAGGATGGGATCTTGCCATTCCTAGAAACATGGATGGACCTAGAGGGTCTTACACTAAATGAACTAAGTCAGCTAAATGAATCAGAGACAGATTTCAAAGACAGTTAACATATGAATCCACTTACATATGGAACCTAAAATGCAAATGAACAAATAAACAAAGACAGTAACAGACTCATAAATACAGAGAATAAACTGGTGGTTGCCAGAGGGGAGGGGGACTGGGAGATGGATGAAATCGGGGAAGGGGAATAAGAGGTCCGAATGAAAATAAGTCACAGGGATGAAAAGTACAGCATTAAAACACATTAATTATGCCCTAGGTGAATCTGAAGTAGGTAATTCCAGGTGAAACTACAAAGGAAAAACAATGCTAGGCAACAGAAAACTTTAGGACCTAAATTACTATGAAAATAAATTTTTTATTGCCAAATACTAGGGGCTGACTCTGCAACCTTGGTTTATGGCAATTTCCCCCACCGGTATTGCATATGCTACAAAAACTGGCTTTCGTAATAACTAATTTAAAGAGATAAATGAGCCAATCATCATTTAAGGCAGAAAATAAGACCAGGTTAAAAAAAAAACAGAGATTACTGCTTATTATCAGCAAATCTCCCACAGTTCACTCTCCCATCAGTCTTGCTTCCCTCAGGGACAGGATATACCAGGACCAGGACAGTACTCACTGCAACCCACACCCAGCAGGCAGCAGGAGGTCACCCAACCTGGCTTACCAATGCACTCTTTCCGATACCTGGAGTACCTTTTGAATACATAATATTATTTTTTTCTATTCCATAACAGGTCACAATGCAAAAGAATCAGCTCTCTCTTAATGGTCTAGAGGGTTTGTATGGAATGCCTTTTGTCTACTGCTCAGCCCCCAATCTGCTGGACTCATACTGTTATACGTCAGATTTGAAAAATGTGTTTGCATCCTTGGATAAGAAGGATAGCATCATAAGCCAGTGGAGAAAGGAAGCACCAGCTAATAAATGCTGTTGGGACATGTGGCTAGCCATACGGACAAAATAAGATCCCTGCCTTTTCTATCATATAGAAAAATCAGCTCTAGGTGGATTAAAGACCTAGTTACAAAAAGCAAAACTTTTTAAAGCTCAATAAGGAAATACAGGAGGCCATCTCTGTGAGCTGGGACACTCATCTTCCTAACGAGTTGGTAACTTTGACTCTGTTAATATTAGAAACAACTGTATGACAGCAGATATCATGTAAAGGAAGCTAAAAAAATAAGCCACAGATAGGAAGAAGAGAGAACAGAATAAAGAATGAAGAATCCCTAAAACTCAATAAGAAAAAGACCAGCAACCCAACAAAGGTGGGAAAACGACAGGAAGAGGCAATCCAGAGAAGAGGAGGCCCTCGACAGCCGCTACCTCGTGAAATAATAACCGATCTCATCAGTAATCAAGAAACGCACGTGAACACCGAGAGATGTCATTTCACACGGAAACAAGAGGACTGTGATTCCTTTCGGGGGAGACGAAAATGCGATTGAGCAACATCTGTATCATTTCTAAAATAGAGAACTGAAGCAAATACAGCAAAAGATTATGTTACATCTGTACTATGGATACAGTTATATTATTTTTTGTATACTTTCTTCTATTTTAAAAACAGATCAGAAAAATTGAAAAAAAAATTGAACGCTTGATTGTGGTATCAAACGAAGTGATATAAATGGAAATCCAAAAGGGACCCAGGCTAAGCAGCCAGTGCTACTAGCCACGGGGATGTGACGAAGAGAAGCGGTCAAACCTGCAGGGTTAGAAATCTGTGTGAACTTTATGCGCGCAAGGAGACTCGGTGTGATTACCCCACCAGTCTGGCACTGAATGAAGTCTGATTCTGAAGGTGAACCCTGGAGCGCAGTTTTACAGCCATCGCGCCTGCTTCATGATAACCAACCATACAGGTTTCCCGGACCAACCAAGGAATGTACGTATAGAACCCAAGCTGAGTGCCAGCTAAAGGCGCTCACCATCTGAACAAGCCATGTCCCTTCTCCACTCCACAAAGTCGAGGACGGGCTACATAATCCCTCAGGTTCTCAGCCGAAAACCGGATGATTTCTAGAGCTGCCGTACTTTCCACGGTAACAGGAGAATCACACACGAAAGTACCGAGCCACATAGCTCGCATGTTCAGTCTCAACCCCAGTATCAAAGCAAAGATTTCTTTTTATTGTGGTAAAATAACACATTTCCCATCTTAGCCCTTTTTGAGTACACAATTCAGTGGCTTAAGTACATTCATGCTGTACAAGCATGAGCACTATCCACCACCCCAACCTGAAAGTGTAACCTATCACACAAGAAGTCCTCTCGCCCCTCTCCCCAGGCTCTGGTAACCACTGTGACCCTGACTATTCCATGTACTTCCTATAAATAGAATCGTACGGTATTTGTCCTTTTCTGTCTGGCTTATTTCTCTCAGCATCATGTTCTCGAGGTCCATCCACATTGTAGCAGGTGTCAGAACCTCCTTCCTCCTTTTTAAGGCTAAATGATATTCCACTGTATGCATACACCACACCGTGTTTACCCACTCGTCCATCCATGGACAATGTGGGCT